ATCCAAAAAAAATCTCTGCCTGAGGTTAAATTGAAGTTTGGATTAATTGTGTTTGCAGAGGAGATTTCAAAACAGTCGAGTGTTGGTTGACTGTGTTGTGGAGTTATTAGTGGCCAGTCTTACTCAGATCTATAATGAAAAGGAGAAAGCTGAGCAAGGAAAAACACAAAATGTACAGGTAGAAGAGAAAAGGAGCACCAGGAAGTGTGAACAGATTAAAGGAAACCCTGACACTACGTGGAATAAAGGGAGTGGTGACCTCAGAGCAAGACTCCACCCAGCTAAGCTTCCAACTTGTGAAAAGGAATTAAAGAAAAACACAGGGACAGGTATGGTAGTGCACACCTTTAATCTCAACACTCAGAAGGTAGAGGCTGGTGGATCAAGTTCCAGGACAGCCAAGCTTAGGCAGTTGAAGGAAACCATCCAAAGCAGAAAGCTGATGAAAATGTATTTAAATGAGGGGGCCTTGTTACAGCCCCAGCAGACAGCAGAACTTGGCAGCTTCGGCCATAGGGCTCTGACTTTAAAGTCAAGAAAGGCGTTATAGAATCTCCCTCTGTAACTAGGGAAGCAAGCGAGGCTTGTGTCAGGGCTGTCCCTGCATGGAGGTCCACAGAGGCCACTGTGGGAAGCTGTGAAAGTGAAGCCTGGATTGCCTTGGAGACCCCAAGACGTTGGAAATGCCAGAGTCATGGGATAATTGCGGAGGAAAGATGCTCACAGGGAGTGGAACCAGCCTAAAAGAAAGAAGTGTATCTCAGTCAACAAAGTTGAAAGGAGTTGGAGATCTGCAGAGCACTTTGACATCAGACATGCATATGCAGAGTTTGGAGTTTGCCCAGCTGGTTTTCGGTCTTGTTTCAGTCCAGTATTTTCTCACTATTCCTCCTTTTTTGAAACAGTAATGCATGTCCTGTGCCAATATATATTGGAAGTATGTGACCTGCTTTTTTTATTTTGATTTTATAGGGGTTACAGTTAAGAGATTGCCATGAGTCTCAGAAGAGATTTTGGACTTTGGACTTCTAAACAGAGTTGAAACTGATACACTATGGGGACTTTTGAAGTTGGACTGAATTCTTTTTTGCATTATGATATGGCTACAAGCCCAGAGGGGGCAGGGAGTAGAATGTGGTGGTTTGAATAAAAATGGCCCCTATAGGCTCACAGAGAGTGGCACTATTGGGAGTTTTGGCTTTGTTGGAGGGAGTGTGGCCTTGTTAGAGGAGGTGTGTTACTGAGGGTGGGCTTTGGAGTTTTGGAAGTCCAAGGTCGGCCCAGTGTCACTGTCTTTCTGATGCCTACTAATCCAGACCTAGAACTCTCAGCTACCTCTCCAGCACCGAGTCTGCCTGTGTATCACCATCCTTCCTTCTACGATAACAGTAGACTAAACCTCTGAACTGAAAGCCAGCCCCAGTTAAATTCTTTCCTTTATAAGAATTGCTGTGATCATGGTGTCTCTTCACAGCAATAGAAACCATCACTAAGACAGATGATGAATCTCTTAGATTTGCTAATGGTTGATAAGGATACCCTCATTGGCCTATTGATGGAATTCTTCTTTTCCAATTTTTGGAACAAACTTCTGCCTCTTATTATCAGTGTGATCCTTATTCTAAAAGTTTTGAGGGTCAAGATTTGTCCATGATAAAAGGCCTCTCAGCCTAAGCATATGAATATCTGAGGAACTGGAATCAATGTGGGGACGTAATATCAGTTATGTACAGCCTTTGTAAACAGCATTTTATTTTATATTCAAATGAACCCTATGAACTCAGCATCACTCTTATTTCATAATTGAGAAGACAAGGACAGAGATATTGAGATGACTTGTTTTAGATCGCAGCTCTAGTTATTATGAAAGATGGGGATTTGAACCAATATCTGGCTTGCTCCAAGTCCGTGACTGTTTCACCATGCCACCATTGTCAGGTCTGGAAGCTTCAGAAAACACACATTTTGTGCCTGAACTTTGCTGCCTAGAAGCATGACCATGTATAGAAAGAAGCCTGTAGAGTTGGTGCCTATGATGGTTAGTTTTAAATATCAACTTGCCACAGCTTAGAATAATCTGCGAAGAGAGCCTAACTGAGGAACTGAATAGATCATGTTAACCTGTAGGCATGTTCATGGAGAATGGTCTTGATAATTAATGCAGGGAATCTAGCCCATTCATTATGAGCAACACCATCCCCTAAGCAGGGCCTATTTAACAATGTAGGATATGAGGAATCAAGAGAAGCAGCTTCTGAGTGCTCATTTCTCTCTATTCTTGACTGTAGATGTTGATGGCTGCTGAAGTTCCTGCCTCTACTTCCCCTCAACAATGAATTGTCACCTGGAATTGTAAGACAAATAAATCTCACCCATCCACCCACCCAGTCACTTTGGGTTGAGTATTTTAGCACAGAAACATACATGAAAACAGGGCAGAAATCAACACCGGGAATGGAGTCGTTTCAAATGACCTCTCACATAGCCCGCCTCCTTCCTTCCTGGAACCTTAACTCCAATGGCATTCCAAACAACATAAACCAGAGCTTTAAAAAGTGATCGACATCTGGCTTCCAATCTTACGGCTTGCCTGAGGAGTATCATCCCAGTGATTTTTTTTAAAATAATTTTTAAGGTTCTCCATTCCAGTGGTGCATATTCTCTAGTTATTATGTGACAGCTACTTTATAAGATGATGAAAAGGCTGTCACAAAATGGTCAGTTATAGTCCAGCAAGAGATGGCCAAGTGTGTAAAGTCCTTGATGCCAAGCCTGATAACCATCTCCATATACATGTACAGTGTGCCCATATGTACAGTCCCAACTCCCTCCCATGTAAGTAAATAAACATAATTTAAAAAAAAACCAAAGCCCGGGTGTAGTGGTACACACCTTTAACCCCAGCACTCAGGATGCAGAGGCAGACAGGCAGATCTCTGTGAGTTCAAGGCCAGCCTAGTCTACACAGAGAGCTTCAGGCCAGCCAGAGCTACAGAGGGAGAGTCTGTCAAAAAAAAAAAATTAAGGTTCAGTTGATATAACTAATTTCTTTATATTCTTATTAGTAAATATTTTATTTTTATAATTTTAATTTATAATTATATTTTATAATACCAGTTCCATGGGGGGCGAGGAGCAGAATAGCATGAGAAGGTGTATAGTTTTAAACTGTTGTGTTCTAGACAGTTTTTTCTGGTTCCTCACATTTCCCGTTCTGATGCATAAGCTATGGTGTGAGCCATTGGTGAACTCACAAGTTCCAGGAACTAGCACCAGGATCAAAGCTTTTCACCAGGATCAAAGCTTTTCACCAGGATCAAAGCTTTTCACCAGGATCAAAGTTTTTCATGGGCAGTAAAATACCAGCTGAAGGTGGGTTGTTTAATGGCCTCCACTGAGGTTATGTGTTGTCTTTACTTACTAATGTCACACACACACACACACACACACACACACACACACACACACGTGTGTGTGTTTAGTGTGTATGTGTGTGGGTACATGTGTACACATACATGCATGGGGAGTCAGAGTCTGAGTTCTAGTGTTTTCTTCTACTGATTTCCACATCCTTTTTTGAGACAGAGTCCCTCACAGGACCTGGAACTCATCAATTCGACTTAACTAGCTGGCTAGCAAGTGCCCTGTCCCCCACCCTCCAGCATCTGTCTCCCAGGGTTACAGGTGTACTGCAAGGTCCAACTTCTTTTTTTACGTGGGCGATGGAGATATGAACTCAGGTCCTCCTGTCTCCATAGCAAGTACTTTACAGACTGAATCATCTCTCCAGTCCTAAGACTTACTATTTCTGATCACACTGTGCCCCATAAATATTTATGGTTATTGCATATTAATAAAAGATTTTTATTTTAAGTTCCAGAGGTGGAAATGTTAACTGTCCTGATTTGATCTTTACAAACTGCACGTATGTATCAAATATTCCCACATTGTGCCTTTTCAATTTGAATGGCTAAAACAATAAACTTAGAGCTTGTAATTTCTCCATTTGTGTTTGATCTAGGTCTACTGCTTTATTATTATTATTTGTTTGATTAGGGGTTTTTTTGAAACTGTGTCTCATTTAGGCCAGGCTGGCCTAGATCTTGTTGTGTACTAAAGAGGAACTTGAACTCCTAACTGCCCTGCTTCTACCTCCCAGTGCTGGAATTAGAGGTTTGTACCACCACTCCAGACAGTTTAATCCAGATTTCCAACTGTGTACCCATTAGGGGAATTTTATTTTGCTAATTTTATCCTTATTGTATTTTGAAGAGTGATGCAGTTTCAATTATTTCTGTCTTTCAAGTTGTGATGATCTTTGTCTGGTGACTCAGTGCTATCTATGTTCATGTGGCACACATAGACAACATTTCCTCTTCTTGGGAGGTGTCCAGATATACATGAAGTTGTGCCTCTGTACCTTTTGTAAAACAGTGTGTTTAGTGGTCTGGACACATTTGCCAGCAGTTTCCTCCAACGTCTATGTAATCTAGTAGCAAATGGTACCCATTTCACGAGCTTTTGGCAGGAAGATCTATGTCTCCTGTTCCACAGATGCACCGTGACGTGGAGGTGGTGTCGCAGTCTAGGGCAGTGGTTCTCAACCTTCCTAATGCTATGACTCCTTATCAGAGTTCCTCATGTTGTCGTGAGCCCCAACCATAAAATTATTACGGTTGTTACTTCATAACTGTAATTTTGCTGCTGTTATGAATTTTAATGCGAGTGTGTCTGTGTTTTCCGATGGTCTTCGGTGACCCCCTGAAAGGGCCATTCAACCAAAGGGGGTCGCGACCCACAGAATGAGAATTGCTGGTCTAGTGAGAGGACTAGGAAATACATTTTTTTCTTTTTTTAAATTTTATAATTTAATTTAATTTTACATATCAGCCACGGATTCCCCTGTCCTCCCCACTTCCGCCCCCCCACCTTCCCTCCAGCCCACCCTCCATTCCCAACTCCTCCAGGGCAAAGACTCCCCTGGGGGTTCAGCTCAACCTGGTAGATTCAGTCCAGGCAGGTCCAGTCCCCTCCTCCCTTCACCCAAGCTGAGTGAAGTGTCCCTGCATAGGCCCCAGGTTCCAAACAGCCAGCTCATGCACTAAGGACAGGTCCCGGTCCCACTGCCTGGATGCCTCCCAAACAGATCAAGCCAATCAACTGTCTCACTTGTCCAGAGGGCCTGATCCAGTTGGGGGCTCCTCAGCTACTGGTTCATAGTTCATGAGTTTCCACTAATTTGGATATTTGTCCCTGTGCTTTTTCCAATCTTGGTCTCATCAGTTCTCGCTCATACAATACCTCCTCTTTCTCACCAATTGGACTTCTGGAGCTCCACCTGGGGCCTGGCCATGGATCTCTGCATCCGGCTCCTTCAGTCATTGGGTGAGATTTCTAGCATGACAATTAGGGTGTTTGGCCATCCGGATCACCAGAGTAGGTCAGTTCGGGCTGTCTCTCGACCATTGCCAGCAGTCTGTTGTGTGGGTATCTTTGTGGATTTCTGTGGGCCTCTCTAACACTTTGCTTCTTCCTATTCTCATGTGGTCTTCATTTACCATGGTCTCCTATTCCTTGTTCTCCCTCTCTGTTGTTGATCCAGCTGGGATCTCCTGCTCCCCTAAGCTCTCTTTCCCTTGACCCTCGCCCTTCATTACCCCCACTCACGTCCAGGTTGCTCATGTAAATCTCATCCATTTCTCTGTTATTGGACGAACCCTGTGTCTTTCTTAGGGTCCTATTTTCTAGGTAGCCTCCGTGAAGTTGTGAGTAGCAGTCTAGTCATCTTTGTTTTACATCTAGTATCCTCCTATGAGTGAGTGCATACCATGTTTGTCTTTCTGAGTCTGGGTTAACTCACTCAGGATGATTTTTTTCTAGATCCATCCATTTGCCTGCAAACCTCATGATGTCATTGTTTTTCTCTGCTGAGTAGTATTCCATTGTGTATATGTACCACATTTTATTTATCCATTCTTCAGTTGAAGGGCATCTAGGTTGTTTCCAGGTTCTGGCTATTACAAACAATGCTGCTGTGAACATAGCTGAACACGTGCTCTTGTGGTATGATTGAGCATTCCTTGGGTATATGCCCAAGAGTGGTATAGCTGGGTCTTAGGGGAGATTGATTCCCAATTTTCTAAGAAAGCACCATATTGATTTCCAAAGTGGTTGTACAAGCTTGCATTCCCACCAGCAGTGGAGGAGAGTACCCCTAGCTCCACATCCTCTCCAGCATAAGCTGGAGGACTAGGAAATATATTGAGATCCAGAAACCGTAAGAACATTGGTCATCCTGCAAATAGTCATTTCTCGAAACTTCTCTTTCCCCCCTCTATAGCCGTAAGTTATGTCTGCCCTGCAAACACTGCGAGGTGTGTCAGGAGAGGCCAAGAGATAAGAAATGTGGCCAACATAAAGTGATTAAGAAATAAAAGTACTATTCACAAGAGCTGAAAGGAATGATAGCTGTAAGAAACAGCAAGCACGGGCATGTGTTTTACTGGCTCCTTTCCCAGGCCCCAACCACCTTCAGCTTTGGGGGACACCCTGCTTCCTGCATTGGAGACACCGCCGCGCAATAGCGCAGGGCTCCCTCTGCGCAGCTTTGGCGTTCCCATCCTGCTGAAAGTGTGTTGTGAGAAAGAGCAGAAAGCTGCCAGGAGCTCTAATTTGCGCTTCAGCACCATCAGCCCAGTGGAGCCTAGGATGCCTCCCCCTCCTGGAGTGGAAGCTGAATGGCAGATGCAGCCCAAACATTCTTTAATCGAGAGGCTTCCGTCCCCGGACGCCCCTGGATCTTGGACAGAAAAAAAAAATCTCGGTCGGATATGTAGGATGAGGATATCCAGGCCCTCTGAGCCCTTAGCGAGCAGTCACGGAGTCAGATGCAAGAATTGCCTAGGATGGAGAAGAAAGAGATCGATCACGGTCTTACTGCGGGTTTCCAGTGGAGATGCTGCGCGAAGGGCACGTCTGCCCCGGAGCCGCTCTGTGCGTCTCTGCGGCACCCCGTCGCCTGCCGGCCCCTTTTCCCAATTTGCCCTCCGGCCGCAGTCGTCTGCAAATGAATAATCCCCTGCACTTGTGAGTGAACCCACACAAGTTCCCCAGGCACGGTCCTCCTACCTCTTTCGCCCCCGGGGAAGGGTGGGAGCAGTTTTTCAACCATAACCTTCCAGTCACCTGGGGGAAGGTGACCGTATTGGGGGAGGAGGAGGGATTGTTTTACTGATTCCAAGGCTTCAGAATTAGCTGCCGGTGCTAAAGTGGTTCGTTTAATTCCTTTGCTCTCTGACAAACGGTGGGCGGACCGCTGCCGGGGCGCGACCCCGGGGCTCACTTCGCAGCCGGACGCTGAGTTTCAGACTGCAGCCTTGCTCCGCATACACCCGGGCCCCTTTGCCATTCATCCGAGTCTGCAGATGGATGAATGTTGACAGGCATCCTCTGAGCATTGGTTAAAGCCCCAGAGTGCTCACCTTTGCACCTACTGTTTTTTTTTTCTGCCATCGCCGCTGCCTTCTCCTCCTCCTTCTCCCCCTCTCCTCCCACCCTCCTTCTCCTCCCCATCCCCACCCTCTCATCAGCACCACTACCAAAAGACGTGCCCCTTTGGTAGAGTCGAAACTCCCCGCCGAAACGAGGGGGAGGGAGGGAGACACCTCTGTCCCCCTCCCCCCATCTCTGCCTAAGCTCCGGGTTTTACTGCAGCAATCGGAGGTGACAGCGCCACCTCGGTCTCCTCTGTAGCTCTCCGAGCCCCGGCTCCCCCCAGCAACGCGGGGGGGAAAGCGCCCCCTCCTGAGAGGCTAATCTCCGGAGAAGTGCGAAGGTGATACAGAAAAGCGAAATTTAAAAATGTAGAAGTCACTGGGCTGCATTCCTCGGAGGACAGCCCAATCCCCCAGGACTGAGTGTCAGCGCATAGGAAGTTGGGACCTTAGAGCGAAGGGGGAGGGGAATGGTGCAACCCCGCATTCTCTTCTGGAAGGAGTCGCTGCAAGCCCTGCGGTTGGACACAAGTTTGCGTAAGAGTGTTTTCCTTTTGTCAATTATTAATCACCGGAATCAGTTTGGCAGAACTGGAGTTTTAGCAGTAGTGCAGAGGGCGGGGCCCGAACACCTAACTCTGGGAGCCTCCCCTGCTCCCGGAGCAGTGGCAAGCTAACAGCAGCTGGGAAGAAGCCAGAGCATCCAACCTTACCCAAAGGCAGGAGGTAAGCATCTTCCAAAATACTTAACGTCCAATCCAAAGCAGCTTTCATAACAGAATTTCTGTCTTCGCGGGGGGGAAATAGAACTGAGCTTTAATGCAATTTCTCTGCTTATTATTTAACCACATTACTACCGAAAGAACTGAGTGGGTCCTCTTGGCATTTACTATGTTGGAAAAACTAAGACGTTTCACTCTACAGAAGCCAAACTTTATTATTGGAACTTTTCCAGCCAGAAGAAAAGTATTTTACATTGTTTTCATTATTCATCTTTGTGTGGTTTATTAATATCCAGGGAAATGTCTTAGGATGTGTTTGGCTTCCTTAGTGGTAATATTTGTCTAGTTCTCTGCTCTTCCACTTTTTTTGCCAATAAGTTACTTCAGGCAAGGGCACACCAGTCAGCTGCCAGCAGATCAGGCATATCTAGCAAAGAATGTGTTTTAGTATTTTCTCTTGATTATTAAGCACAGTGTATTTTCTCAGGGATGCTTACATGATTGTCACAAGCAATCAAAATCTTCAACCCCTGGAGTAACGTGTGCCATAGCATCCATGGGGAGCAGGGGAGAACAGGTGGAGAGGGTTTTAGATATGTGTCAGTCCAGACTTGTTTCAGTTGGAAAGACATTCAACTGGTTGTCAGTCTACAGATTACCCCAGCCCGTGCTCCAATACAGAAGCTGAGGAATCGTTAAATCTTAATATTAGCTCCTAAAGTCCAAATAAATGTATCAGGGAAATTGGGATGTTTGCTTTGCAAAGGATTTTATAGCAGCAGTAGTTATTTTGAATCAAAAGATATTAAGAAATACACAGTCATTTTTGCTAAAGAACTTTTAAAATGATGTGTGCAGAAAACCGGTAAAAGCTTAACCACTTGATTTTCACATCTGGTTCATTCCTGCGCTTCTTTCTTAATGTAGCTGTCATTTTCATGATTTAAAAAAAAAATTTTGGGTTTTTCAAGACAGAGTTTCTCTGTGTAGCTTTGACTGTCCTGGAACTCTCTCTGTAGACCAGGCAGGCCTCATAGAAATCAGCCTGCCTCTGTCTTCGGAGTGCTGGGATTAAAGGTGTGCGCCGCCGCCGCCGCCGCCGCCGCCGCCGCCGCCGCCGCCGCCGCCACCCAGCCATTTTCGTGATTTTTTAATAGCTATGATGACTTTGTATATGGATCACTTAGACTAACAAACTTTTGTATGAGATATGCAACCTCATTTTTCAAATCTCTCTAAGCAATTTAACTGCAATAAATTAAAAATGGTTAGTTAAGGCAAATGCACAGACATTTAGAATTTTACTGTGTATCAAGTAGAAATTCAACCAGTCTTCAACTCCCATTGGTTTTCTTAACCTACTGTTTATGTTTGCTAATTGTAAAATAAAAATTATCCTTTATAAGTTATGGCCAATTTTACCCAACAAAGTCAGTGTAATTTTGCTGCCAAATCTACAGAGTCTTCATTTCAAATTATCCAAATAGGGGTTGGGGCTGAAAAGATGGCTGAAAGAGTTTAGTACATTCGAGCATGAGGACCCAAGTTCAGATCTTTGGCACCTATGTAAAAAGGCACAGCAGAATGTGCCTGTAATCCCAGAGCTGGGAGGCAGCGACAGGGAAATCCTGGAGTCTTTTCCATCCAGCCATTCCAGCCAATGGGCAAGCTCCTGGTTCAATGAGAGACCCTGTCTCAAAAATGTGGAGCCATAGAAGGAGGCACTAAACATTGTCTTCTGACTTCCACACACATGCACAAGTATGGACACACACCCATCCATGTGCACATATACCACACAGGCATGAGCAAATCATCCAGATAAGACTCAACTTCTAGAATTACGCCTGTGAACACACCACTTACAAAACAATAGCCGGTGAAAATTATCTCTGGATATTATCTTGAGGGAACACAGCAAATGAAGAAGTGTTTATGCAAAATAACCTGTAACACTGCAGTAAGAATGACAAGGTATATGAGCACAGTTCACCTCCCCAGCCTCCTCCAGCTAGGTACGGTGGTGATCCACTCTGGCTGGATGGTGCTATGCTCTGGGTAAAACACAGAGTTCCCTCTCAACCTAGAATCCAGCCCACAGGTTCAGTCTGTTCGAAGTAGAAACAGGCCACCACCCTTCTCATCTCTCTCAACTTTGCGTTATGGAAGCTTTATTTCAGGGAGGACCAACTGAGAAGTCAGTCTTTCTTCCTATAACCAACACACACACACACACACACACACACACACACACACACACACACACACACACACTGGGCCAAAGATGAAGAATTCAATAACAAAAAGACAAATAGCCCATTTTAAAGTGGGCAAAGGTTTGAATAGACGTTTTTCCAAAACAGATGTGCATAAGGAAGGTGCTTATATTTACTTGTTGGAAAACAAACATCAAAACCATAATGAGATATCACTTCACACCAACCACAATAGTTATAAATGAAATGATCCATGTTGACAAATCAGCCCAGTCCATGTTAAAACAAAGAATTTGGGGATGGAGGAGACAATGTAGAATAGTTGGGGCTGGGAACACAACTCAGTGGTAAGGTACTTGTGTGGTTTGCATGAGATCCTGGGTTTGATTCCTAGCACCACAAGGAGCATGAGAAGGAAGGGGAGGAGGGGGAGGAGGAGGAGGAGGAGGAGGAGGAGGAGGAGGAGGAGGAGGAGGAAGAAGAGTTAGAACTGTCATGTATTGCCAATGGGATGTAAAATGATGTAGTGGAAAACTGTTAATTCCTCAAAAAGTTACACCTAAAGTTACCAAATAATACAATTCCACTCTTAGACATATATTGTGGATAACTGAAAGTTTACATCCACTAAAGAACCAGCACCCAAATCCTCATCCCAGTAGTATACATAACAGGCAAAAACAAAAAAACCTGGAAACAACTCTAGCATCCATTGAGAGGCTAGTAGGTAAGTAAAATGTATGGAACAGAACAGTGGGTATTATTCAGCATGCTTCAGCACAGTGAAACCTTGAACAAATTCCATACGCTAAGTTAAAGAAGAGCACACATTGTGATGTTCCCTTTACATAACATATCACAAACCAGAGACTCTATAGATACAGAAATCAGATCAGTTGTTGCTGAGGGCCGGTGTGGAAGATAAGTTGGGGAGAAATGGGAAATGACTGCTAAAGGGTACAGGGTGTCATTGGGAGATGACAAATTTTAGACCATGGGAATGGTTTCTGGCGATAGATATTGGACTGTATACTTAAACTAGGTTAATTGTGTGATAAATGAATTACATCTCAGTAAGGCATATTATTAAAAACCCATCCAATACAGGCAGGTGTGGTGGCAATTACTTATAACCCCAGAACATGGGATGGTGTTGAAAACTCAAATTGCAAGTTTGAGATTGGCCAAAAAAAAAAAAAAAATTTAGCAAGACTCTATCTCCAAACACAAAGGGCAAGCTGGGTGGTGGTAGCACACACTTTTGATCCCAGCACTTGGGAGACAGAGGCAGGTGGAGCTATGATTCCAGGACAGTCAGGGATATCCAGAGAAACCCTGGCTCAAGGGGGGAAAAGTTATAAAGGACAGAGGCTGAAAAAGATGACTCAGCTCTCAAGAGGCCTGGTGGCTCTTCCAGAGGACCCAGGTTTGGGTCCCAGCACCTGTTCAGGGGATCATAACTGTCTGTGACTCCATTTCCAAGGAGTCAGATGCTCTCTTTTGGCCTCTGTAGGCACCAGACATGCATGGGATGCACATGCATACATACATGCAGGTGAAACACTTATACGCATCAGATAAAAATAAATAAATCTTTAAAAAAAAGATAAAAAGGACTAAAGGTGTGGCTCAATCTTAGCGCTTTTGCCCAGTGTTTACACAACTCTGGTTCAGTCTCCAGGACCAGAAAAAAAAAAAAATATGTGAAGAATTGAAGGAACAAATGCATTTAGAACTGGTATGAACCTTTTTTGCCCGATGACCATTTAGAAATATATGAAATAATTAAGGGCGGCGCAGGAATTACACAGCTGTATGGTTTGCATAAGTTTGCATACCTGCCCTAGCTTGTCTTCTCTTCCGAAATAAATCAGATGCCATTAACTTCTTGTCACTGGGGATTTACTTGTAATGTAGCATCTGTTTGGACTCACCCATCCATCGTATTAACCCCGGACCTGTTGAGGCTAGTTATTCTTCTTGCTTTTAGGTAAATCTAGTCTTTAACAGCCCTTGAGGATGATTGTTAAATTTGCTATGTCCCACACTGGGTTAGAGAGGAAGGTACCTTACCCTCTGTACAATGCGAATTTCTACTCAGAGGAAACCACTTTTCATTTACCCTAGATTGGCCCTGAAAACCAGAGTCCTGGAAGAGCTGGAGGAGCAGCCAGTGTCGTCCCCAAAGCACGCTGATATGTCCTTGCTGGAAAGCATCGACTGTAATTATGACAAACCCCAGTGCAGAGGCTCCTAAATAATTAATTCATGCCTCTATTTGTCTCTTGTGTTTTGAGTTCCCACAGCTTCCTGAGCCTGTAATAAGAATCATGGAATGGGATTGCAATTCTTTGTCCAGAACAAGTATCAAGTCAGTGTGTCTTGGAATCCTGTAGGGTAGAAAGCAGCAGAATGTGTTGTGAGGACAGTTATGAGCACATGTAATCAAACTGTACCCGAAGTCATATGGATTAAAGGCTTCCTGCTTCAGAAAACCTCAGCAACTTTCCTTCTCACCTACACAGGCTTGTCCTTGCATGTGCATGTGTTTCAGAGTGTGCCAAGCTAATGGAAATAGATTCCATCCAGTTGTTAACTACCGTGTTTAGTGTCATATTTTGTCCAATTAGAAAACTCCCATTGAAGACAGAAGATATGTCTGTACATCTCTACATGTCTACGTGTACAGCCCCCACCCACCCACACACACACACACACACACAGGTCAGGAGACAACTTTGGATGTCATCCCTCAGCTGGAGTCCGTCTTTTTATTTTTCCCCCCAGC